GACAGATGGACAGTGTTTCCAGATAGGGAAGTATTAATTCCAGAATTGAAGGGCATGAGTCAAGCATTGGGGTCCCAGGCTTGAAGTCATGTGCTGTAGGTTGGGTATAAATGGGTATAAAGTGAAGCTGGTGAGAGTAGGATACTCCCAAGGATGGATAGAATTGGGTCAAGTTTGACAGAGGGGTGCTGAGCTTGGAGTGGTGAAAAGAGGTGAAGGAGTGGATTGGGGTTGGTCAACAGGAAAGGAGTGATGAAAGGTGTGGATAGCTGTGTCTGGAGGTCATCTGTCATGACCATGCATTCATCCTAAGTCCTCACTCACTCTGCACCCCTTTCCACTGGTCATACACTCACTCTGCACCAGCTCTGCCCACCCCCTGATGTTTATGAGTCATCTCCACTCCAACTGCTGTCAGACTTGCATTGCTTTCCTACCAGACTGTGTGGACCATTCTCTGAGGAGTCATGTGACTACCCTCAGACTTCTCCCTGACAGTGTGCAGTCAGGTACTCTGCAGCATGAGCACTGCATGGTCCAGTGCCTGGACTGTTTCCTTTTTTGGATGTTCTATGTTACCCATGTGTATGTCCTCTGTCTACCCTTCATTCATCATCCAGGAAGTTTTATAAGTCTCCATATGTCAGTTCTGATTCTGGTTACTGTACCTCTGTAGCAGTATAAAAGCATGTATCATACTCTGCTGTTCTTCAGTATGAATATCAACTTAGTTCCTACTCCCTCTGTCTCCATCCTCTGTCTGTTGGAGATACCTCTGACTTTCTGTCTGCACTCGCCCTCTGAAATACAAGGGCTGAGATTGTGCAAGGGGGTAATGCATGAGTTAAACCTGACACCCCCACTCTGCTCCACCTCTGTCTCAGCAGACTTCATTCCTGCCAACACTCCACCAGTTGGAGTTCAGTTCCTTTGTGTCAGATTTGGTTCCAACCTCTCCCCAGACCTTGTCTAGCATTGGAATTGGTTGGAGTAGGCCTGGACTTGACATCATCTGGGAGTGCCTCAATAAGGGCTTGTCACTGTCTTTTGTTTGCAGCTTTCAGTTGGCATGCTGTCTTGCAGTCTGGTTCCTCTTTTTGTAGTGTGTACTGTAGACCTACACTAGTGTGAAAAAATTGCTGACTATGCTACCAAAAGTGCACCACACAGGTAGGCCAAGTATCACTAATGTAAATCACAGCAAAAATATAGTAGAAAAGATAAAATAATTAAATCTCCTTAGTAGGGAGTACTTATTCCCTACAGTGTGTAGTGTAGCATTTCTCTTGTACATTTATGCCTGTGAATGCCAATGCCCAGTTCCAGTTCTAAGGTATGAAAGACAACAAATAAAAGAAAAGTAAGGGAAACAAGACATGGTAACCACAAGATAGGTGAAACAGATAAGGCCAAAACTTGGGACTGGTTCTTGGTTATTTCTTGAAAGGACCAGGTTTGTCCAGGTCCTGGTCATGATACTCTTGGACAAGTTCTGAGGCATTGTCTAGCTCCATTGCTAGTACCCAGGTGGTTTCTTCATCAGTTCACTGGTAACTGGTCCTTTGGATGACAAGTTGCAGTCTTCCAACTCTGACAACAAGTCCAAATTGTCTTCCTCCACCTCCACTCCAAAGTCCAATGCCAAGGGCAAGGGCAAACAAAAGATCCATCCAAGTCCAATGTGCCCAAGTCTGATATTGCCCACCTCCTGGGCAAGGATGGCAAACTCACCTCTGCTGAATGCCAGTGCAGGATGAAGAACAACCTCTGCCTCTTCTGTGGTGAGGCTGGCCACTCCACCAAGGACTGTCCCAAGTCTACCTCTTGAGTAGCCAATGCCCATGCAGCTATGGCTGGAACTCTGCCTGCTCTGCCCATGGAGAAGGCAGAGCCAAAAAATTAGTCTGCTGTAAGAAACTGTTTTCTGATGGCCAAGAACTCTGACTCCCAAAGAGGTAGGTTCTGCTCAAGTTGGGTCAACCCTGAAGGGGCTTTGGTCTGGATGCAGGTTAAGTACTTTAGACAAACAAAAAAGGGAACTCACCTGAGAGAATATTTCTTGACTCTAAAGAAGTACTTTGGCAGAAAGGAGCTGAAGTGGTGATTTCTGCTTTCCAAAGCAAGACACAGAGTAGACAGTGATGTTTTGTACAGTATTCTTGTCCATGCTGTACCAGTCTCTAAGTGATGTGGCATGCACTGTGACCACCTGCATGCTTAGTCAGCTTTCTATCTTTCGACACCAAGTCCTTTTCAGCCACAACCCCTAAGTCTGAATCCTCCTTGACCCTCTCCTACACTCTTCACCCTCAGACCTTCCCTTTGACCCAACAGAAGTACAACTTCTTGTAGGGAAAAGGTTCACATTCCCTACATCCGAGGGGGGGTTTAGATGCCAACCATCCTTGGTCATCCCCCTTCCTTGCATAGACATCCTCAGCTTTGTACCCATCCTCACCAACCTCTCCTTCACACCCTTGCCCTCTGACTCTCCTAGCCTTCCCCTCACTCACTGTACCTCATGTTGCCTTCTACCCCACACTCAACCCCCTCTTCCTCCAACAACATGCCCCTTTGATCCCAAACCTGCACTGCACTCCTCAAACCTCTCCCTTACTCTCACCAACATCTCCAAGACCCCTCACAGCCAACTCTCCTGTGCCTTCTCCATCACCTCATGCCCTCAATTTTCCACACCTCTGACCCCAACCTCTTTTTTGCCTGAGTGACAACCAAAGCCCTTCAAACACATGAACAAGTGAGTAATAAATCAAGTGTGGAGCAACATAGGAATGGCTTGTTGAAACACAGCCAGTGGTAGAATTGCAACAGGGCATTTATACAGTGCAGTGGCTGGGGGTAGTGACCCTCTGTATATATGACCCAGCTTGAAGATTATTTTATACCTGTAAAACCCTCTATCAGTAACATATTCACAATCCTACAAGAGTGCTTTGTGCGCTCTCAACTCTGTTTTGTCCTTAAGATGACTTAGTGGAAACAAAACCAAGATAAACAAAAACTTGAACCCCCAGGAGACTTCTTCTGCCTGATACCACATTCTTTTTATGGTACTCTGGCCCCCCTTCTCAACTCCTGGATTTGTGCTTTGCATGCAGGAATGAATTTTGTCTAGTGGCTGACATGAGGAGCACAGTCTCATGCCTTTTAGCCCAGTCCTATGGCACATAATGATACCAGTGGCCTTTGACTCACATTTCTAGTATCCCTGTCTCTTTGTACAGTGAAGGACAAAAGCATTGCAATGTTTGTGAGGTGTGACTTATTGCTGATGTAGCTCAGGCTATTCTGCACAGATAATGATGATACCTATACCATTGGAAAGGGGTGACTCTAAGCTTTCCAGAGCTTTCCAGAGCACTAAGGTTCAGTCCAAACAAAGCAATACATGTTGAGATACACCCTATTCTTTCCAAAAAGTGCATTGCAATGCTTTTGTCCTTGACTGGTGAAATAGCAAAAAGTGACCTTTTGATGGGATTGAGGGCATGAAGAATGGGAAAAAATGATTACATAATAAACCACATGATCATCCAGATGATTTGTCAGCATGTAAACAATGTCAAACATTGGACTTGTACCATTAACCCTCTGGTTTGTCTGTCATGTTCTGAAGTGCCAGATTGACCTCCAAAAAATTCTCAGCCTTCCAAGTACTGATTAGTCCCAGAACACATCAGGCATGGGGGGGAAACAGTCCAAGGAATGACTGACAGCAGGTTTTTTAAGGGACTGATGGTTCTGAGAGCATGTTATACTGATGGCACTGTGGTGGCCACCAGTCTTTGATAAGAATTCCTTGAGAAAATGACCATGTGAGCTAGAGAGATGATTGCATGAGTTGTGGTAAAAGAGGGAGGGTTAATGGTACAAGTCCAATGTTTGACATTGTTTACATGCTGACAAATCATCTGGATGATCATGTGGTTTATTATGTAATCATTTTTTCCCATTCTTCATGCCCTCAATCCCATCAAAAGGTCACTTTTTGCTATTTCACCAGTCAAGGACAAAAGCATTGCAATGCACTTTTTGGAAAGAATAGGGTGTATCTCAACATGTATTGCTTTGTTTGGACTGAACCTTAGTGCTCTGGAAAGCTCTGGAAAGCTTAGAATCACCCCTTTCCAATGGTATAGGTATCATCATTATCTGTGCAGAATAGCCTGAGCTACATCAGCAATAAGTAACACCTCACAAACATGGCAATGCTTTTGTCCCTCACTGTATGTACCCCCAAGAGTTTTCCCTTTCTGCTTTCCACCTTTTTTGATGCTGAAAACAAGACAGTTTGACATAGTATACATTCAAACAACAATAGAACACTTCACCTTGAACTCATAGCCTCTCGATTCTACTTCAAAGATAGGTCTTTGACCATGATGGGTGTGAATACAGGCCCTTGCTTGACCTTGGACCTTTGTCCTCCATCAATCCACTTGTTTCTTGCACTGGGGTACCTGATCCTCATTGTAAAACATGTTCAAATCAAAACAGCAAAGGTCACCTGTTTGCATGGCTACCCTGGCTAAGCTTCTCTTCCAGTTTTGCTTCTACCTGGTTCATGTCTCTTCACACTTGTTCCAGCTCTACATACCTCTCCTGTGGTGACCCTTCATAGATGTGCAGCGACCACCCAAGGGTGTTTACATAGTTGGGTGTTTCCTTCATGTCTGCCATTATCCTTTGTACTCAGTTTGCTTGTTTTGGTTTGGACTGTTGCCCTTTCTAGTGTAGAACATTAGTGAGTGCTGCAACATGAAAGGACAAGAAACTAGAATATAACAAGAGTGCCATGGCTCTTTGAGTGCATCAAGACTATAAGACTGCTGCTGCATTGAGTGAAGGTTCTGACTTCTGGTGATAATCAATCCATTTCAATCAACTTCCCACCATTCTCCCCTTCTTCTTATCTAAGCTACCCTGCATGTTCCTTCCATTTTTCCTCCCTCATCTTTTTCTTTCTCACCCTTGCTCCCATGTCATCTAACCCCAACAACTTACCTCCCAATGTTGGCATCCTGGCTGATGATCTCATGCATGCCACCTCCATCCTCCAGCTCTTGCTGGGATCATCACAGGGAGACACTGAGTCGAGAAATGCACTGTTAGTGTGTCTGGGGTTTCTTATGGTGTGTTCCCCTCTTCTTTTCCTTGATGGCCATTCTGTTGACACCACCTGTCATCACAGGGCCCACTGCCAGCTCCTCTGGCTCCCAAATCTCAAGCCATATCCTCTCCTGCACTACCAGTCAACACTCCTCCCATTGATGTCAGTCAAGACAAACTGGCTCCCACAACTACCACTGCCCTGGTTGACCACACCCCTGCAGAGCCCATGCCTGTGACTGTTGTCATCCAGGGACTGGACCCCAGCCCTGCTCTTGACCTCCCAACCTTTGACATGCTCCCAGATGCTCCATCATCCACATCCATGTCCACTGTCATGCCTTCTCATACACCCTCTCCCTTGCTCCTGGGTCCCTTGGACCCTCCATCTCCTCTCACACCAACTGTTTTGCCCAATTGTCCAGCCTCTGTCCCAGATGCTGCCACACCTGCAGATCCTACCATGCCCACCTGCCAGGCACTTGACACTTCTGAGCCTGGCCTGGATCGTCTTCCTGCTGACTCTCCCTTGACTGGCCACATGTCCCTTGATCATCCTTCAGTGAGCCTTAACCTCATTCATTCTTCTTCATCCCTTAGCTGACTTTTCAAGGTCCAGAATGCAGACTGTCTCAGGGAGTCTGGTCTCCAATGGCACATCTACTGTCCTGACTGGCATATCAAGCTTGTCAAATGTGCCTCAAAGGATGGCAGTTTTCCCATCTACCCACCTGTCCCTTGCAACCAGTGTCATGTTGCTTGAGCTGTCTGCTCTGGAGCCTTAGGGCTCAAATGCACACATTGCCATCAACTTTGCTATACTTGTCCTTTATATGTGCATGTTGCTTGCTCTCTTTTCATCCTAAAAGCTGTCTTGCTGATTTCACTCCAGAATGACTTGGTGCAGTCCCAAGCTTGGGTCCAGGTGCTTTGCACAGGCTCTACTCCTCCCACTCTCACTCCTCCTCAGTACCCTGCCAAACCCATTGTCAAAATCACCCAAAGGCTGACTCATGCTTTGAAACATTCTTGCATCAAGTCTCCTTCTCCCAGTCTGACTCCTCCTCCTTCAACTTCTGGTGCATCCTCTTCTAACTCAGTGCCAACTTCATCAACTTCTAGTTCCCCTCCTTCACTGCCTTCACTTTCCAATGCTGAGATGCTGGTTGTGCTTTGCAAAGCCCTTTGCACCATGACTGAAGTGTTAGACCAGGCCTCAAAGGGCCATGTCACATCCAAGTAGGCATTGGGTAAGAGGAAATCACATGATTAAGTACCTTGCATCGTCTCTTTTTTTCTGGGCTTCAACAGCCCCATCATCATACCTCATGTATATTCCTGTCCAACACAGGATTGATCAGCACTTATCAAATTGTTCAAAAGGTGTGACTTATTTTTTTTTTTTGATGGTCAGAATGTATGAGTTGGTGTACAAGTCAGATACTGGTTGCACTCAATTACACTCAAATTCAAGCTGATAGTTGAAGTGCCTCAGTTGAACAAGCACACCAATATCTACAACTGGAGGTCTCAGATGCTCTCACTTGACTCACTCTCTTCAATGTCCTCTTCTCATAAGATGTCTTTGGCTTCAGGGATTGATTTGTCCTCTATCAATTCCTCTTCAAGCCTGCACAGCTCTTCTTCACTTTGGTTCATGAGTTCCTCTATCACTATCAAGATTCATTTCCTAGAATAATAAGGGAGTAAGCAAAAAGTGGCATGTTGAAGGCAGGAAATCAAGCCATCAAGCTCAGCTAATAGGTATGAACCCCCTTCAGTTTGCCTGATGACTACCATAGGGCCTAAGTATCTCAGCTTTGTCTTGCAGTTGAGTTCCTTCTCAATTCTTGTATTGCGAGCTAAGACTAGCACTCCTGGTTTGAACTCATAGCTTCATATTGACCACTTCACCCTCTGCTCAAACTCCTTTGCCATCTGGCACCATGCCTTGTATACTTGTTGACAAACCCACCATAAGTCTTCCTGTCTTTGCTGCAGCTGGCAGCATCTATATGATATCAGTTCTTCAGTCAAATACTTATCCTTGTCCCAATTCATCAGAAAAGTCACTTCAGCAAAGTTAATCAGCAATCTCAGCTTGATCCCATGGACCATCTGATACAGCAAAAGTTTTGTTGACTTTTGTGTCATCACCCTTTCAGCCCAGAACACTGACAGTGCATATGACAACCATTTGCCCACTTCACTCTGGCAAGTCTTGATGAGAGCTTCTTGAATGGTTAGATGTCTTCTCTCAACAACTCCATTGGCCTGAGAATTGTATGCCAAGATCTTTATATGCCTGATATTGTACTTCTTCATGAGGTAGGCAAGGGCCTGTTTGAATGCAGAGCTGTTGTCTGTGACAATCTCTCCTATGGCACCCCACCAACACAAGATCTGTTCAAATATGAATCATCCTAAGGTTTGTCCTGTCTCTGCACACAGCATCTGCCATTCAGGATACAAAGTCAGAGAGCACCTAGCTTGTACTATGTACCAGAACCCAATTGACTTTGGCATCACCATCAAATCCATGTATGCCTTGTAAAACAGAGGCTCAGGCATAGCTATGACAGGTGGGATATGGATCTTGTCCATACATTGAATTTGATACTCATGGCAGGTACAGAGGAACCATCATATGTCTTGATCTAGTGATGGCCACCAGAAGTGGATTGGTAATCTTGACTTAGTGGGGAACACTCCCTTGTGACCCAAATCATCATCTGCTTGCTTCATCAACTCTAGGCATTTCTTGTATGTGGGTACTACTTGATGCCATCCCCTTGGTTCTCAGTGCCATAGATCTCTGTTCTTCAAGAAGAATCTTGCCATGTACTTGACCAGTGAGTTCAGTTCTAGGTCTGACATTCCAGGCAGTCACTGTTGATCTTCAAGGAACTTGTGAACTACTTCCAACCATTCATCTTGTCACTTCCCTTTCTCTGTCCTAGGGATTTCTACATCAGTGGTAGCATCCATCCCTGATGCCTGTGATAAAACCACCTGGGTCTTGGTCACTTTGCTCAACCTCTCTGATCTCTGCTCTCCAACATAGGGGATCCATCCCCATCTCAGTTCAACAACCTTTTGACTTTGGAAGAAAGCTTCTTCTCATTTGCCTTGCTGAGGGTTGAGGAGTTCAACTGCAAATGATCCTACCTCGTCGATCCAATCTTCATAATCATCCTCCAGTTCTGGGTCCTCATCTGCTTGAGGTCTCCTTGATAACCTGTCTGGGCCTCTATGCTTCTCTGCCAGTACTTGTATCAGTTTGAACTCGAAGAGGAGTATACCAGCAATCCATCAATTGATGGTTGCATTCAGTTGCAGGTTGGGGTTATTGATCATACCCTTGATGTACTTGGTATTGACTTCCACAGCTAAATCTTTGACTCTGAATATGTGGTAGCACACATCCCAAAGTATGTGAAATAGACTGAACAACTCTAGCTTTGCCTGGCTATAATGACTTTCCCTTTTGTTGAATGTGATCAACCCAAACCTTGACAGATAATGCTTTGAATCTTCTCCAACCTGTAAAAGTAGGTAGCCTACTGCCATGTGCAAGGTATCAACAGCCAGAATGACTTGCCATTCTGACTTGTAATCTATTGGTTTTAACACTGGTGAGTTGGTGAGTACTTCCTTCAAGTTGTCCATTGCTGCTTTGTGTACTTTGTCAAATCTGAAGACTACTCCCTTCTTGGTCAATTCTATCAACAGTTTTGCCCTTTTTGCATAGTCTCAAATGAAGATGTGACAGTAGCTGCAGAGGCCTAAAAAGCCTCACACTTCTGTGATATTCTTGCAATAGGGCCAATCTCGAATCTTCTGTACTTTGGATTCATTGGGTATTCAGCCTTCGTATGAAACCTGGTGTCCCACTACTGTGATAGATGGGACCACCACTGCAAATTTCTTTGCAGAGACAGTAGCTCCAACATGTTTGAGGTGCTGTAGAACTCAATCAGTATTGACAAGGTGCTCCCATACAAACCTCCTGATTCCCAAATTCCCTTCAATTTTTTCATATGTTCCATCTTCTCACATGTACCTTGGTCATGGTCCTTTTACTGGTATGTCATCAATAAACAGCATGGTTACTTCTGGCATGTCCTCCCTGAGTGTAAATGACACATCCCCATGGAACACTTGTACAGTGTTCATGTAGCCCATGGGGAGTTTGGTCAACCTGTTTGTGCTGATTGGCATTTGAAAGGTTGTAAGGTTGCAATTGTCTTTGTGGATTACTTGGTGGTCATAACTGACCATAAGGTTGTACATGCAATACACTGAGTGTCCTGTGAACTCTTCTGTGATACTGTCCACATGCAGGGGAGCTCCTGAATCCTGTATCGAGACTGCATTGAGCAGCTGTAAGTTGTGGACTGGTCACAGCAATTTCCCATCCTTCTTCACTACACAAAACCATCTCGATTGATAAGACAAAGTTGATGGTTCATAAACTCCTGCCACAATCTTCTCCTTGATTATTTGTACAATGTCCCCATAGATTGTCAGTGGAATGGGAATATTCTGATATACCCATGGTTTGTGCAGGACCATCAGAATCTTGAGAGGCAGGAACATATCCTCTCTGAACATCCCCCTTTCACTCATGTCCCAAGCAAAAGCCTTCTCATGGACTCATACTAGCCACTTGAGCAGTTTGAGTTCTTCAGGCCATAAAAATCTGCTGGGGTCCCATTTGAACTTGTCTGCTCGCTCCTGGGTAAGTCTTTCCCCAGGTGTGAACACTGGGGGAGTAACCAGTATCTGGGGGAGGTTAACCAATGGGTCCCCCACTTCTCTTCTCTCTACTCTAAACTCTGCCAGCATCTCTGTCATGACTGGCTGAACCTTCTTTGCCACAGGTTTGTACTTCATCACTTCCTTTATCCATTCTTCCTCATCCTGTAGCTCAGTGGTCAGACTCTCTACCAAATAAGATTTGAAATGTAAACCAAAGAACTCAAAGTCCTCCTCTGTCATCACAAATATCATCTTGTAACCTTTTGGTTTTGCCCCCAGGTGTTCAATCTCTGTTTCTTCACTTTGACCTGCTTTCTCAATGCTTCTATCTGTTCCTCCTTCTTCACATCCCTTACAAGAAGGTTCATCTCCTCGATACTGTCCTGCATTTCTACAACAAACATCTCGCAATTTGATTTCTATACCTGCAGGAAAAGTCAGTGTGTTATTCATGCTCAATCTAAAAGAAACTCTATAGCTGGTTGCCTCTATGTCTAATGTTGATTCTTGTTTTCTGTTTTCTGTTATATCTTGAAACTGTGAGTTGAAGCCTGAGATGTATGTACTTGATTCATTCTTATATACTGCTATAGGCTGAGCAAGATACCCCAGCCTTACAGGGGTGGCTGATCCCATCAAAATGTCTCCTTGCTGGCTATTCAAGTCCTGGACAAAGTCTGAAAACCCTTGTCCTGAGGTCAACATTGCATCCTATGGGGTTTGTGCCCAATCCTCCAAACATACTCCTTGCTCTCTTGATGTATTGGAAGGTGTTGTGCACTGCCATGAACATATTCATGTTTGTTGGAGGTTCCTCTTTGTGCTCGATACAAACAATGGGTGCTTGCTGCTCCTCTCTCCTCCTCCTGTCTCTTGTCATCCATTCATCTGTCAGCTGGTACATCAGCTCATCCATTCAAGGAATGTGTGTGCCATTGTTGAACTTTACCCTGTTGTCTTCAATGATACACCTGTTAGCCATGCAATACCTTTCCAACATGCAACAAGTCCTCATGCAGTGTCCTTGAAGGAAACAGAAAAAGCAAATTATTTCTCAAGGCAGTTCACATGTTCCTTCAACAACATTTCTGGCTGGTACAGGCACTGCCCTTCACTGGGCCTGTGCTTCTGCCCAAACCTGAGGCTGCCTCTGGACCAACTCACATGCTATCCTCCTGGCTTCCTCTCTGGGTGATAACTGAATCACACCCCTCCTTGCAGCATGGCTTCTCATTGTATGGTACCCATGCCTCAGCAACTCTTTTATTTCTCATATGACCTTGTTCATAGCCCAGGGGTTGTCCAAAATGGGCAAGCTGTTTCTAAACTTCAAGTTCTCAAGCATATCTTTCTGAAGTTCTGGGGCCAAGCCCTCCCAGAAGTAACTGTCATAGTCTTCCTGGGTGAGCTTGTAGCATCTGTTAAGATAGCCCACTATGGTCTCATACTGCTGAAGATACTCTCTGAGGTCCTCTTCTGTCA